ATAGAACAAAGTGTTCGTGCATTGAGTAAGTACTTGAGTGGAGGTCCATTTTCCATCAGCTGCCTTAATACTAAGCCTATAAATATATGCACGTAGATCTATTTCCCCACCATCCTATATAAATATATTTACATATGTATATGACTGTATTTAGACCTCTATAAATACCCTTTGCCTCCTAGTTCTTTCCTCTATTTCCTTTTACTTTCCTCTTGTCCCACAGAACATTTTCTTTCTACTTGAGCCCTGGATATAAGCTCCTCTTTTTTCCCTCCCTGCTCCCCCCACCCTCGTGAACCCTTGATAAATTATAAATTATTTTTATTTTCATATCTTACACGGTCCGCTGTCTCTCTTCATTCTCACTTCTTTTGTTCGTCCCCCTCGGGGGGTGGGGGTGGGGGGGGTAAGGGGTTGGGAGGGATGGTTATACATCAATCATTGTGATCAGTTTCCCCTTCTTCCCCCCACTTCCCCTACTGACCCCTCATGGATCTCTGCTCCCATTACTGTTCCTGAGGGATTTATCTGTCCTGGATTCCCTGTGTTGAGAGCTCTTATCTGTACTAGTGTACATGCTCTGGTCTAGCCAGATTAGTAAGGTAGAACTGGGGTCATGAGAGTTGGTGGGGGTTGGGGGGTGCGGAGGGAGCAATAAAGAACTAGAGGAGTGTTGTGTTTTTGTCGCTGCTATACCACACCTTTGCTGACTCGTCCCTAGGCCCTACCTTGTGACCCTTCTATGAGGGGATGTCCAGTTGTCTACAGATGGACTTTGGGTCTCCATTTCAACTACACTTGTTTGCATGGAAATGGTTGGTTGTTTTAGGTCTTCTGATGCCTGATACCTGATCTGGTCTGCACCTCATGATCACACAGGCTGGTGTGTGTCTTGCATGTGGCTTTGTTGCTTCCCTGCTTGATAGCTGCTTGTTTAACTTCAAGCCTTTAAGACCCCAGAGACTCTATCTTGTAATAGCCAGGCACCATCAGCTTTCTTCACCAGATTAGCTTATGCAGCCATTTTTTCTTCAGCAATCATGTCAGGAAAGTGAGCATCACAGAATGCGAGGTTATTAGAACAGTGTTCTTGCTTTGAGGGAGGACTTGAGTAGGGGCCAAATATCCATCTGCTACCTTAATACTTAACATATAGATATATGTACATAGACCTATATCCCTATTGTTATATATTAATAGATTTACATATGTACATGCCCATGTTTATACCTCTATAAATATCTTTTGCCTACTAGTTCTTTCCTCTATTTCTTTTTTACTTTCCTCATCCCACCATTATGTGTGACCTTCATTCAGCACTCAGTAATTCCTCTCAGCTGCACTGCACTTGGTCGAACCCCACTAGGCATTCTATGCCCACCTCGCCATCGATTTTAGATTCTTGTTCCCTTGTCCCTGTGTTTTTTGGCTCCTCTCTCCCTTTCTTCATCTCTTCCTCTCCCATGACCCCCTAGAACTGCCAGTCCCGTTGTTTTCTTCTCGGGATTGTTTATCCTGCCTATCTTATGTGGATAGACATGGGAAAAAAAAAAAAGAAAAGTGAAAAAAAAGAAAAAAGCAAAGCAAAAAGCTTATAAATACTTCCAGGTTTGTCTGCTGACTCTCATGAATATTTTCCAATTGAATCTTATGAGATGCCAAGCCCTGCCCCTCAGGTCAGATGTCTTTTTTCAGGATTCCGCGGGGGCTTAGTTTCTTTGCTCCCCTTGCTGCTCTGTTACGCTCCCTTCATGCTTCACCCAGTGCGTGGGCATCAGGCTGGGCACACTTTCCGCACCGTGTCTCCAGTGCTACCCGCAGAGCACTGTGGGTCAGTAAGGGGAAGTTGTGTCTCATGGTGAGGCCTGCCCTAAGGTCCTCTCTGTGCGTTGGCTGCTCTGAGGGGGAATGCCGTCCTTGAGGCTTGGTGGGCCAGGATGCAGAATGACAGCTTTTTGTCGTCATTTTAAGAATGTCTGTGTATAGTTTTGTGATATTTTTTTCTTTCAATTAATCATTTTTAAAACACTTTCAAGGTTTTAGCTAACTTTTCACTGGAAAAGAAACCAGGTTGTCCATATTTATTTAATATTTAATTACAGGATATAATCATGGCAACAGCCACTTTTATAATCAGGCTTGGAACAAATAGCACTGACTCATGACACAAACAGCTCAACTTATGAGAATATATATACATGAGTGTACTAGAAAGTAGCCTATTAGCCCCACCTCTTTTTCTTTTAATAGTTAAGGGATTTTTTTTTACTAGCTCTAGATACATCTTTGTTAAAATGAAAACTGTAAACAAGCATACACAATATATGATTACTAATTATATATTTATGGCTGTACGAGTTCTGTGACGCCAAAAGTTAACCAGCTCAGTATTTCCTTTCTTTTTCCTCACAAGATAAAGTTTAACAGCGCCACCTTCTTCAGTGTTTATTATAATACCAAAATAAACAGTGCATTTTTTTACCCAGTTAGTATACTGATTTTATCAGTTATAATATTTGCTATAGAGTGTGGATAATGTTGTCCAGAAAGTCAAGTTGAGATCAGGTTAGAGGGCTTCCGTTGTAATGCCTTTAAATAAATGAGTAAATGGCGGCATTAATGATAGCTATACATAAACACTATATAGAAGTGGATAGTGTAAGGGCCTATACCAGATTAATAGCATACACTGGCTAGCTTTAGGAAAATTCTAGATTAAGAGAATGAGGAAAAGAGAAGAAAGGATAATTGTGGGGGAAGAGTACAAATCTGACCATTTTGCTTAATAATTTGTATGTTAACCTTATTTATTTACATTTAATTTTTTAACCATTAACTTAGACATGACTGACTATTATGTTGTTCATAATTTCTTTCTGTAGTATCTATATCCTTGTAATTAGTGATGAAGGTTTTAATTTTTTAATCAAATAGCCTTGAAGTGATTATATTATTTTCTTTGTTTATTGAAGTGAGAAAACAAAAATGATAGTTAATAACTCAATAAAAAGTTATAAGTAGTTACTGTTCCTTATGAGAGACATACCATAACATGCATTATATATAAATGTGAACTAGAGAAATATATCTGCTAGATAAACATGACTTGCGTCCCTGTCTATCCCGGCCACAGTATAACTTCTGAAGAGTTTCATTCTAGGCTCAGAAGGTGCTCTTTAGAGAAGAAAACAGTGCACTTCAAGACAGCAACAGCAATAGCAATGAAGTCTGCAGAGGAAATGTGCTTTTGTATTTGAACTGTGGCCCATAAGAATAAAGCCACAGAGAGAATAGTGAAAGACTGGAAAGGAATTTCAATAGCCCAGCGTTATTTTGTGGGAATAATTTATTTTAAGTTATAGTGAAGTTTGATTAAAGCTTTTTTTTCCTCCTAAAGTCATAGAGTAAAAAAAAAAAGGAGAAACGTTGTATAGATCAGTTAAATAATATGACTTTTATGTGTATAGTAGCTATTTTTACTTAATAATTCCCTTGTTTTCAGTAGTCCTTCAGAACATATTTTCTGGATAAGTTGTGTTTTATTTATTTTTTGTTAAGTAGAATATTGCTGTCTTGTACTATTTATTTTTTAATTGTTATGTAAGGTTTTTGAACCGATTTCAGATGACAATATAAATGAAAGTTTATAGTATTCCTTTCAATAGATGAGAAAATTATACATTTCATTTTATCTTAACAGAAAAAGCATGGACCCATTTGCCAGAAAACTGCATCTAAAAAAAGGAAGACTTTTGACTCAAGCAGACAAAGAGCTGAAGGAACGGATATTCCAACAGTAAAACCTCTTAAACCTAGGGTAATTACATACCTTTTAAAACAGTGTGGACCTTGTTTGCCTTGTATTTAGTGTTGTACTAAGTTTGAAGAGTAAACCAAATTATTCTATTTCATATTTTGAGTTTAGAAATTGTTGGAAGCAAGAATTTATTTTAAATTCTTGCAAAAGGGAAGCTAAACTTTTGTCACAAATTCTAGAAATGATAGTGAGATTTTTATAGTATTAGAGAATCAGTTGCTTATCTCTAAGCAGGAATTAATTAAATCACAATGTCTTCATACATTCCTTGTAAGTTACTAATCATGTCAGATATAACAAATACTTTATATTATTGCCTCTTAGCATCTGTTAGTGCTTTTGGTCATTCACTCTTTTTTCATAAATCTAATAATCCTGTGCCTAAATTAATTATCAGAATTTCAGCAGTTGCATATTTTATCCCTTTCTTTGATCATCAGTCATATATATACGCATATTTATATGTAGATATGTATGCGTATGTATATATGACACAGATTTACTTGAAGCAGAAGATTGGGTATCTTTATTAGTATGAAGGATATTTCTAAACTTTTTCTAATGCACTAATATATACCTTTTAAAGCTCAACTTATGGTATGGTTATGATAAACCTTAATTTCTAAATGTTCTGTAGGATTTGATATAATTCATTTTCTTTTAAAAAGATGTGACAAAAAAATAAAATGAAAAGATGTGACAATTGTTTATTGGAAAGTTAATTTATGGTTGAATTAAAACATTATGTTTGGGGAGAAATTTTACATAGCAAATTTTCTTCTCGTTTAAGAGTTTCTATACATTTTATTCAGTGACATTGTTTACACTTCTCACAATGTGTCAGAATTCCCTTTTATTCCATTCTGATAGTTCTTTTTCCATTAATTTCACTTCCTTGCCCCCCTTAACCTTCTCATTATTGGTCTAGGACAAATGCTGACCTTTATGTATCATTTATGTGACTGTTTAGAGCAGCACAATCCTCACTAGTGATATTATTTTGTGAGTTATCGCAGTTATTAGCTGCTAGTCGGTCATTGGTATTGATTCAGTTTGCAAGCTGAAAGGGTCTTCCAGGGAAATAGTCTTGCCATTATTCTAGTCTCTACCGGTCTGATAAGTTTGCTCTTTTTTAGTAACTTGAGTGATGTTCTACATTGTGCTCCCATTCAATGTGGGATCTTCTATTATGTTCCTGGTTGAACAGTCGCTAGTGGGTTTGTAGTGGTAGCTGCGCACCATCTAGGTCTGGTGTCAGATAGGTGAGACCCTTGTTCCTAAAGTGCGTTAGTCTTGTAGATTATTTTCTTCTTTGATTGCCTGGCTTTCTTCTTTCTCTTTTGAGGCAGTTGTATAATGACCAGTAATTGTATATTAGATGACCCCTCCCCAAGCTTTATACAGAAGACGCTATTTAACAAATTGGATATAGAACATCTTCCTGAGCTGTAAGAGTTGCACCCAAGACTATATATAATCCTGAGCACTTAAACTACTCAGTAACCTAATCCCATAACGTGTTGGTTTTTGATTATGTCTAAGAAGTATCTATTAACTGTTCACCATGTGCTATATTTTACATATGAATGTATACGCAGCACAAACATGCATATAAACTTCCCTACAGAAACACTTGTACGTGTATCTGTATATACTCATATGTGCCTGCTTATACATATATAAACTCAGATGTCTCTTCATGTAACCACTCATGTATTTTTTAGTTGTCAGTATGTTGTTGCACAATTGTGAATGTTGTAGTTTTTACTAGAATCTTCCTTTATTTTGTACTTAGTGCAACAACGTAGTATTTATAAGTTAACCTTGGTCAGGTTGTACTGGCTTGCCCTGGCTCAGTATTGCCTTAGACATCAACAAAACTAACAACTGCCGACGGTTTAGAAAGTAAGGCCCTCTTTCTTTCCCTTCCATCACTGTTGAACACCCAAGAATGTTGCTTTCTGAATGTATACCTAGTCTTGTCTTTTTATCCGAGGTGGGCTATACAGT